GGCTGGTCCCTCCCCTGCTGTCCCTGCTGCGTCGGCGGCGGCACTGGGCCCCCAGCCCCCGGTGTCTGTCCGTAGTAGGCAGCCTGCTGTCTGTAGTACTCTGCCCAGGCTGCGCTGTAGTCTGGCTGAGGTCCCGGTGGAGGTGCCCACTGGTGCACGGGCTGCGCCCCACGGTGCTTCCGAACACCAGCGGCCCCTCCCCCCACCTGGCCAGGTGCCCACTGGTGCACGGGCTGCGCCCCACGGTGCTTCCGAACACCAGCGGCCCCTCCCCCCACCTGGCCAGGTGCCCACTGGTGCACGGGCTGCGCCCCACGGTGCTTCCGAACACCAGCGGCCCCTCCCCCCACCTGGCCGGGTGCCCACTGGTGCACGGGCTGCGCCCCACGGTGCTTCCGAACACCAGCGGCCCCTCCCCCCACCTGGCCGGGTGCCCACTGGTGCACGGGCTGCGCCCCACGGTGCTTCCGAACACCAGCGGCCCCTCCCCCCACCTGGCCAGGTGCCCACTGGTGCACGGGCTGCGCCCCACGGTGCTTCCGAACACCAGCGGCCCCTCCCCCCACCTGGCCAGGTGCCCACTGGTGCACGGGCTGCGCCCCACGGTGCTTCCGAACACCAGCGGCCCCTCCCCCCACCTGGCCAGGTGCCCACTGGTGCACGGGCTGCGCCCCACGGTGCTTCCGAACACCAGCGGCCCCTCCCCCCACCTGGCCAGGTGCCCACTGGTGCACGGGCTGCGCCCCACGGTGCTTCCGAACACCAGCGGCCCCTCCCCCCACCTGGCCAGGTGCCCACTGGTGCACGGGCTGCGCCCCACGGTGCTTCCGAACACCAGCGGCCCCTCCCCCCACCTGGCCAGGTGCCCACTGGTGCACGGGCTGCGCCCCACGGTGCTTCCGAACACCAGCGGCCCCTCCCCCCACCTGGCCAGGTGCCCACTGGTGCACGGGCTGCGCCCCACGGTGCTTCCGAACACCAGCGGCCCCTCCCCCCACCTGGCCAGGTGCCCACTGGTGCACGGGCTGCGCCCCACGGTGCTTCCGAACACCAGCGGCCCCTCCCCCCACCTGGCCAGGTGCCCACTGGTGCACGGGCTGCGCCCCACGGTGCTTCCGAACACCAGCGGCCCCTCCCCCCACCTGGCCAGGTGCCCACTGGTGCACGGGCTGCGCCCCACGGTGCTTCCGAACACCAGCGGCCCCTCCCCCCACCTGGCCAGGTGCCCACTGGTGCACGGGCTGCGCCCCACGGTGCTTCCGAACACCAGCGGCCCCTCCCCCCACCTGGCCAGGTGCCCACTGGTGCACGGGCTGCGCCCCACGGTGCTTCCGAACACCAGCGGCCCCTCCCCCCACCTGGCCAGGTGCCCACTGGAGGGCCCCGGCGGGCAGCTCCTCCCAGAACATGGGGCTACTTCTCCCCTGCTCTGCGACCGGAAGGAGGGGCCGAAGCTCGGGCTCCAGACAGGAGGGGATTCTCTAGGGTAGCAGCTCCCACCCCCAGAAAGAGACCCTGGCCCATGGCTCATGCCACCCCTCCCAGAGGCCCAGTGGCTCTGTACTTACTGAGGGGGGGCTCCTGGCGGCCCTGGGTTGAACGGCCCTGGGTTGAACGGGCCCATGGGGCCAGCAGGGCCTGGGGGCCCTCCTGGCCCAGGCCCAGGCCCAACTGGGCAGAGGGGGCCCTGGAGAGAGGAAACAATGGTGAGTGACAAGCGGCTCCCTTGCACAGCTGCCCCTCCCTGGGAAGGGGGGAGCTGGGCCCCCCACCTCGATCTTCTCCTCGATGAGCTGCTTGGCGTGGTCGATCTGCTGCGGGGAGCCTCGGATGACAAACAGCTTGAAGTTGGGGTCCCCGTTGGGAGGCAGCTGCCGGGAGATCTCGACGAACGCCCCCGTCTGCTGGTTTATGGCTTTGACGTTCTCCCCGCCTGGAAGAGGGGGCAGGGTGAGCGCGGGCGGGGAGGGGCCAGCCACGGGAGGGGAGAGCCGGCAGAAAGGGCACTCACCTCTGCCAATCACCAGCCCACACTTGTGAGTAGGGATAGAGAAGGTCATCTCTCCTCCGGGAGGGCCCCAGTTACCCTGCCCTCGGCCACGGCCTCTGCCCCCGGGGGGCATCCCTGGGCCCGGGGGACCCGGCGGGCCACTCTGCAAGACAAGAGCCACAGCGGCCTCAGGGAAGGGCCACGGGCAGCCACGCCCATGGAGATCTAGAGTCACCATGTCCAAGACTGGTAGCGCCCCAGCATGCAATGCACAAGAGCCCGGGCACCGCCCTCGGGAGGCGGGGCAGCTGAGGGCCAGCGGGCGCTGGCGGGGAATCGCCCAGGGAGAACGAAGGCTGCGGGAACGTGCCAGTCGCCTCCCCGAGCTCTGCCCGCACGAGCAGCAGGGCGCAGCGCTTGGGGTGGCAGCATCTCAGGGCACAGCAGGGAGCCGTTCTACATGCTGCCCAGGGACTGCCCCATGACCCCCGGCCAGGTGGGTTCAGACCTGCCCAGCCCCCAGCGCCCGAACCCCTCACTTATGGCCCTACCAGAGCCTAGGGGGAGTCTATTAGTCCTGGCCCCCCAGGAGAGTTTCTGGCCCTGGGGGTAAGCCCCGAGTCGCCGTGCCTCGCCCCCAGTGGGGATGGAGCGTGAGGGGAATCTTTTCCCTGCTTCTCAGCAGGGGGCCACACCTGTGAGGGGTTCTCCCCCTCACAAGGGCCAGGGCAGTGAGGATCCTGGAGTTTGGTTTTTTGTGCTTTTCACTTGTGTGGCTCCTGCCCGATTTCTGAGGGTCAGTGGCCCGACTCCAGAGAGGTTCCCCACTCTAGGCCTAGCCGAAGTTCCTGAACAGGGTCACTCCACTCGGAGCTCAGCTTGTGTGTGTGTCCTGCTCTAACCACTGGACATCACTGCCACGCCACAAACCCTCCAAATCCCTTCCCACCTGCCCCACAGCGCACCCGCTGTGCTGGCCATCTGCCCCGTGCTCCGCAGGGCCCGAGCACGTCAGAGCAGCCTAGCAGCAGGCAGACAGGAGCCAGAAATCTGCTGCCCCTCGCGGAGCTGAGCAAATGCCAACGGAAGCGAAGGGAATGAGGCGCCTCAGGGAGGAAGCCGGCCTGGTAGGTCAGGTGCCTAGACTCAGAGCTGTGACAGCAGCCTCCTAGGGGAGGGAAAGCGGCGGGGGGCGGGGGGGGGGGGGGGGGGCCAGCGACCACCCGGGGGAGGGCTGCGGGGTGGAACAGGTCATGACAACTGGAACCAGAGACCATCGCCCTTCGCTGTTGCCCCCCAAGCCAGGTGTCAGGCAGCCCCGCGGGTTCTGGTGGACACGGCCCCCTTGTAAGACATGCACGAGGGACGTCATGGAAACGACCTCCAGCTAGGGGCCACCATCCTGAACACGGCCCTTTAGAGAGCAGCATTTGGCCCTGCTACCCCTGTTCTACATTCGGGGGGGCTGGGAACAGAGCTAGTGTTAGTGACACCACCACATGACTAGGAGCCCCTCCAAATCCTTCCCCAGCATTTCTGTTCAGCTCCCTCTTGGCCTGCCCGGTACTGGGGACAGGCTGGTACAGCTAGCCCCCGCAGGAAGGGACCGACGCCACTCTACAGCGCAGATCGGGGAGGCAGTGTGGTCTAGCGGAGATAGCACTAGCCTGAGGCTCAGGAGCGCTGGGGTTATTCCTAGCTCTGCCACTGCCCAGCTGGACAACACAGGGCAAGGCCTCCTTGTGCCTCAGTTTCCCTCATTCTGTACAATGGGGATAATGACATGGACCTTTAGCTCTACTGGTAAAACCTGGGAGTTACTCTAACGGCATCCACACTACAGGCTGCACTGGGACAGCCATGAAGTCACCACACCTGAAATAATGAGAAACCAAAAGCCTGCATGGCCCTGCCTGCCCCTGAAAAGCGTTTGGAAAAGAGAAGACTGAAGGGGGACATGAGAGCCGTTTTCAAGTATCTAAAAGGGTGTCACAAGGAGGGGGGAGAAAACTTGTTCTCCTTGGCCTCCGATAGAACAAGCAGCAATGGGCTTAAACTGCAGCCAGGGAGGTTTAGGTTGGACATTAGGAAAAACTTCCTAACTGTCAGGGGGGTCAAACACTGGGATAAATTGCCCAGGGAGGTTGTGGAGTCCCCATCTCTGGAGATAGTTAAGAGCAGGTTACATGGACATCTATCCGGGATGGTCTAGCCAGTGCTGGGTCCTGTCGTGAGGGCAGGGGACTGGAGTCTATGACCTCTCGAGGCCCTTCCGGTCCTAGCAGTGTATGAGGTGCAGCCTGCCCCCGCTCCAGCGCTAAGCCCCACTGACCCCAGCAGAGAAGCAGCTAGGCCAACAGCAGACTGATCAGCAGACCCCCAGAGGCGGTTACCCCCACGGACAGCTCCCTCTGGCACAGCTGGAAGTGCCTACACGAAGGGGTTTCCACAGTAGCACTGCAGCCCCCTCCGTGTAGACGTGCTCTGAGTCGCCACCTGACCCTTGGTTTGCATTGGGAGACAGAGCCCCCGCTTGCAACACACCGCTTTCCAGTTACGAGCTTGCAGGACACAGAGCTCTCCCGCCCGGGGCCCCCCAAACCACAGATCTCAGCCCCGCTTTCCAGAATTTCAAGTGAGGAAAATTCAACTTTTCAGGCCCCTTACGCGTCACACAGCAGAAAAGCAGCATCACAGGTTTTATTCTTAGGGCTACTAAGGAACACTCACTGGGTGGGGAGCCGACCTCTCCCAGGGCAGCATGCCGGAGCAGGGCATCCCGGCGTTACCTACCCGAAGGCTCTGCAGGAGGTCGTTTATAATCCGGGCAGCATGTTCGCACCTGTCTGGGGGCCCCATAATATGGGCAATCTTCTCTGGACCCGTCCCATCATCTGAAACAAGCACAGGAGCCAGCTCAAAGCAAGGCGCCCACTGCCAGGCCCGACTCCGAGCAGGGCTCTCGCCAGGCGCCAGAACACCGTGTTAGCAGTGGGCAAGTCTTCCCATGGCGTTCACGGCAGCGTCAACGGAAGTTAGCAGCGCCTCTGCCATGCGCCCCAGCACACCTCAGGGGACAAGGCTTGGACAGCTGGAGGTACTAGTGCCGGGGGACCGTTCCAGACGATGACTGGACTGCACAGACCAGGCTACGGTGCTGTGTCTGCCTTGGACGCTGGCATGGGACCAGTTTCCTTAACACGGGAGCAGGGTCAAAGGGCAGGTGACACTTCCAATCCGTCAGAAGCAGCAGGTACTGTCACTTAACCACACAATGTGGGACATTCACCTCTCGAAGCGCGAGCGAAGCCTGCCCAATGTTTAAGTGCTCGGAGCACAGGACTGGCCATCCCAGGTCCACCACCGGTCCCCCCAGCCAGGTTACCCACCTCCGGAAGTGGCTGATGCCGGCTGCTTGGCCCCAATGCATCCCACTCTGCTTAATGCACTGGGCTGTTTGCCGTCATGCAAGGGCAGGGGGAGGAGGAAGGGAGGGATTCTTTGCTGAGCCCTTCACCCGAGGCAGGACACAGGATGGGAAATTGTAGGGCTTTTTCCAGGGGAAAAAAATCTGTCTTATTGGTTTTCAGGAAGAAGTCCCGAGGGCACTGTGGAACCCAATGCCGTGCCTCGCAGCGTCTGCACCCCAGGGAGCTGCCGGTGCATGAGCCCACCCTGAGTGTCTGGTAGGAGGCGTCAGCGGGCAGGCGATGGGTCTGCAGGGACACTCGGGGGAAGGGGAAGAGGTGAGCTCTTTAGGGGTCCCACCTTGCTTGAACTGTATCCGAACGCCAGCATCGTTTTGTATTTTCTTGATCATCTCTCCGCTGCGGCCGATCACCACACCGACAGAATGCCTGGGCACGGGGACCTGAGCGAGGGGCAGGAGCCATGTTAAGCGGAGAACAGGAAGTCATTCCCAGGACACTAGGCCAACGGGTTTTTGGGCGAGTGCTGCCCCCTACTGTCAGACTACACAGCATCCTCCCTGGACAGAACCAGCAGCAGCCGACCGGGGGACCATTATCCCCAAGTGAAAAACTCACGCGCCAAACTGGTCTTACATCTATTCCTCCACCGATCCTGGAACCGTATTCATTTCGGTCACCGAAGCCGCCCTGGTCACGTTCACGCAGAATGTCCATCACCATCTCACACGCTTGCTGCAAACAAGACATGGCAACGTGAGCCAGGGGCCGGCGACCCCCGTGCTGCAGGCCTGGCTCTCAGGGCAAGCAGCACTGAGGCTCACTGGACCACACGAATGCCTCCGTTAGACGTGTGGGCTCCACCAGTGAGTGGCTTTGACCCCAAGCCCCACGCAGAAAGGATCTCAGTGCTCCAGGAAAGTCACAGCTGTCCACGCCGGCACACTCCCGGGTACATCCCGCCAGGCATGCAGCAGCCCTGGCCCCAGTCTGACTATTGACTTCCTGTCCTAAACAAGGTTCTGCGGCTGGCCCCAGAGTGGTTGCACGGGGGAGGGGTGTGCACAAGGCCATTTGGAACGTGGGGCGTGTTCTGGGTGCCCCAGGCATGTGCACAAGGCCATTTGGAACGTGGGGCGTGTTCTGGGTGCCCCGGGGAGATCCAAGTGACGTGCTAGGACATTTAAAAGGCTCAAACCAAAGCAGCCCACTTCGGAACAGCCCTAAGGCAGGTAACCACTCACCACTAAAGCGGAGGTTTGCATACAGGGTACGCCGAGGTCTTCCAGAGGGTACAGCAACCAGCCAAATATCTACCTTGTTTTACAACAGGCTACATAAAAAGCACTAGCCAAATCAGTATGAACTAAAGGCTCATATCACGAAACAAGTGGTTTTTAGGGGAGGTGCACTCAGGGGTACACATGACAACGGACTCCAGAGAGGGGGACAGCATTCTGGCAACGTTGACAGCTATTGCACTGAAGGGGCCACGTAACGAGAACCCCCTTCTACCATCCACAAGCCCTCGCCATGGACAACACCCCACCGACAAAAGCGCAGGCTGTCTGCCTCCTGCGGTGGCTCCCCGCACACACGCTCCCGGGGGGAGCCCGTCTGTCTCACCTGGACTTTGTAAGGGTCTCCAATTATCCGAAGGGGCTTATCTACATTGGTGTTTTGGGAACCGTCTTGGATTAAAATCATTTTCACGCCCGCTCGCTCCTGCAGTGAGGAGAAGGGAGAAGGGAAGGCGTCAGCCAGGGGGCAGGCGAGGCTGGAGAGCTCCAGCCACAGCCTGCTCTGACGGGGCACAGAAGGTACAGACTTGCCCACTGACCATTCCCATGATCTCTAGAGAGACTCAGCCCCACAGCCGCTGCACTGACCAACCGAGACCAGCCCTGAAGCGTCACTGCTCCCAGCACAAGGCCCTAGCTGGTTGTGGACCTGGGGATCTCCAGGGTCTTACTGCCAGCGAGTTCCGTTCCCAGCTCGTAAGCTCTCCGCACACACGCCGACTGGCCAGGGCTCCCTGCACCCTGGCTGATGCCCACGTGACTCAGGGTGCCCCCAGCTCTGCTGCACTTGAGCAGGGCTGGAGGGACCAGGCTAAGCCCAACTGCCTCTAGGCGTGCCAGGGCTGGTGAAGTCTGCACGGGGTAGGTGAGCTTTCCCTGGCACAAGGCCTGGCATAGCAGCGCCGAGGCCGAGGGGCGTGCGACGGGTGTTACTGAGCCCCTGCCCGAGCTAACAGGGCACAGCACACTAGTGACACAGGACTCTGGAGGGAGCCAGGGCGGCCCTGGCGCACAACCCTCTCTGTGGCCAAGGAGAAGAGGCCACAAGAGCCACGGCGCAAGAGGTGGAGCCGTGAGAGCCAGGAAAGGGGGGCTCTGGCACCCTGCCCTAACCGCGAGGCGCTGTCGGCCCACTGGGCCCGCAGCCGGGGCGGCTCCGAGCCCTTACCTGCAACTGCTTAATCGTCTCCCCGCCTTTGCCGATCACCAGCCCCGCCTTGCCAGCGGGGATCATGATCTCCTGCACTGTGCCGTTCTGCCCATTGGCGTTGTCGTGGAACTGGCCGGGCGGCCCCCCGCGGCCCCGGGACACAATATCATCCAGCAGCATTTTTGCTTTTCTGTGAGGGGCAGAGAAACAGCAGCCACGGTGAGCAGGAGGCGGGGCCCCCCCCTTCAGCCATCTGTCCACGCGCGCCCGGCCCCGCGGGCCACATGCTCACACGGCCTCGCCCAGCCTGCTCCTGAGGTCGTTTGCCAGCCAAGGAGACAGGCCCAGCTGCCACAGTGCCCTCTGCCCAGAGCTGCTTTTGCTACACCCTAACCCCCAAGTGGACACTGCTGTTGCCAGCAAGAGCCCTGAGCGATAGCACCTACAACTGGGCATTTTGGCTCCATGTGCTATGGCCAAACCCTGAACCCAGCACAAGAGCCTCACAAGAGGCAGAGACCCTTCACTTGCAAACCGCCTGCTCAGAATTTCACTATTTGGAAAAGGGAGGGGGTGTGAATTTTCTCCAAGGTCTTTCCCCACCAACCTGACAAGGCCCTCGTCCTCCCTGCAGCAGGGAAAGAAAGCCACTAAGAGCCGCAGGACTCCGGCAGATGGTAGGGGACAGGCGAGAACCTCCAGCAGGGACTTGCCAGCAAGCCCTGGAGCTCTGAGCTCAAAGCTCAGCACTGAATCCCTGCCTGACAGACCCGAGCACAATCCACACCGAAGCCCATGGCAAAACAGAGGCTTTACTCACTGGACAGATTCCGGGGACCCAGTCAGAGAGACGCTCCGCTCTGGCAAGCCGCCACTGTCTGTGGGAGAAGACCGCGGTAAATGACAGGCCCCATGGGCACGGCACCAGGAACCTCTACAGATGTGCTTATGCTTCCGCTCCCCATTGACTAGGCCAGAGTTCAGAAGACCATCCAGGTGCCATGGCGCCGAACTGGACTAACTGGGCCGAGATCTGAAGAGGCCCGGCTCCGCGACAGCCAAGTTCTCTAAGCAGATCCACACCGTGCCCCGTGGCTCGACATGCCCCTCACCTCCTGGTGCCATTGGCATTGCCAGGTTGGATCAGCGACCCGTGGGATTTAGCCGGCATCGCTACAGTCAGACATTCTTGTACACGAGTGAGCTCACTGTGTCCCAGGCTTGGCCCGAGCTGTCCAATGCGCCACGGACGCTCCCCAAACCCAGCCCAACACTGCCAGGGAACGCTCAAGGCCAGCAGCACGCCCCGTCACATTTGAGACTAGAAGGGAGCATGGAGAGTGCAGACTCCACAGAACCCCACCCAGCAACTCCCACAGAGCCCAATGACTTCTACCAGAGGGTCAGAATCTACCACAGCCATTGCTCACAGGGGCAATTACACTCGCCAGCATACACTTCCCCCTCAGAGGAAGGGGCCAGGGATGAGTTCACACTCCCAAGGACCCGTCTAGCACGGGCACTCTGCCGAGCTGCTGCACGGCGCACCCGCCCGTACCTGGCGATATCTGTACTTTGCAGCCAGAGTCCTGCTGGATTTTGTTGATCTGTTCACCGCCTCTGCCTATAACTGGAAAAAAAGGAAAGGAGAAGAACCGCTAAGGAACGCCGCTTGCTGCCGGGAGAGGCAATGTCCCTACAAGACTCGTCTCAAAGTAACACGCTTCCCGTAATTCAGTTATGGACTATTCATCGGCAACCACTTGAAAAAGAAAGCCATTTAAGAGCCCCAGCCATCTCCACGCAGATGAGAGTTGCCTTACATTCTGCTGGAGGAACAGTGAAAAGGATCGAACCCAAGGTAGTGGTAGGCCCCCAACACTGTCGGTCAAAAGGTGACTTTAGCCTTCGCAGGGAACATGCAGCACTTTGTCAAGAGCCTCAATGAGCCCTACAGAGGCGAGCAAGTTTCATTATCCCCTTTCTAGAGGGGGGAAACTGAGGCAGCAGGCAAGATCAGAATCCAGGGCTCCAGCTCCGTGCCCCAAGCGAGTCTGTGGACGTCAGAAGGGAGAAGACAAGCAACAGATTCCAACGGTCCATCTAGTTAAGAGTCTCAAAAAGGCCATCGCCACAGGGCCAGGGCAGCCTAAAGGAACCAGACGCCTCTGAAGGAATTTGGTGCATCCCAACTCGCCAACTCCTCCTCTAGCCTCAAAGCTCAGAAAGCCAAGCCAACTGAACCACATCTTGGAAATCAGCAGTTTCCTGGGCACAGGTCTTATGCCACGGAGCCCAGTTTCCTCCTGCTTCGCACCAAGCTGCCTGTTACAGCCACCATTCCCCTTCTGGCACAGGCCTGGACTCTCCTCAGAGCCAGTCACTGCTTCTCAGATCAGCCAGACAAGAATGAACGTCCCCTCTTCCCTGGGAGAGAAACACAGAGCCTTTAACAACACTCCTGGGAAACCATGCCACTGCTCACAGGCCACAACCTCAGTGCACAACGGAAGTGCCAACCACCACGGTGACAACACACCTGGCTAGGAAGTTGCCCACAGTATCGAATCCCTACCATTTAAAGCAGGGAGTCCGAGCCTCAGTGTTCAAAATACCAACATGTTCCACCCTGACTCTCCCCTGGCTGGCACAAGTACCACATCAGAACTGCCAGAGCATCAGATAAGACTCAAGTGGGAGTTCGAGACCTCGGAGAGCTGTCCCCAACACAAGGAAGGGCAACAGAGCACAGAACCAAGCTTTTCTGCAGAAAGCTCTGTGACGGCCACAGGGAAGCCAGGAAGGTATGGGTGAAGTTCAGGTAATAGTACAAGCCTTTCACTAAAGCAACTGCAGGCCACGCCCTGCCTAATACTCACTGAGTCCCACCATGCCATCAGGTACTCTGTACTCTTCAGTCACTGTAGACCTGCAAAGGGAAACGGTCAGCGGCTTAAAGTGAGGAGTGGGAGGGTAACAAAAAAGGACCCTATATTCACCTGCAGCGATCAGAAACAAGAGAAAGGGCTTTCCTTGTCCTGCTGGGCCAGACTGGAGGGTGGCAGAACAATTGGCACCAGTCTAGGGGCTGTGTAAGTGTCAGGGGTACACATGGCAAGCTAGTCACATGCCCTGGAGTCCACTGTAGCAGCGTGTGCACACAATGCGCCAGCTTTACAGAAGCCAAATCTAGGAAACCTAACGCAAAGGCTGCACAAGAGCTAGAAGTACCGCGCTGGTGGCCAAGAAGCACGTCCCTCACTACCAACAAGGCGCACACATGCCAGGAGCAACCAGTCTCCCCAAAGGCATGTCACAAGACTCCAAGGGTAAAGCCTCACATCTGAGCAGAGCAGCTTGGCCAGTTTCGGGGCACCCCAACTGTTGCCCTCTGAAGATGTCTGAAGTTCAAGAGGGGTCACTAACTTGGTCCTGAACGTGCAGTTCAAGCTCACAAGCCGTGTGACTGAGGGCAGGGGAGGAGGGTGACGGTGGCAATTACCTGGGAGGAGGATGAATCGGTCCAAGCTGAGCAGACATGGCTGGAAAGAAAAAGCAGGAGAGGTCTGGGGTTATGACATCACGTAGTGGAATGCAGAACAGTGCCAGAAAGCCAAAAATCAGTCAGTCAATCATTATCCAGGCAAACTTTAAGGGAGATAAAGATCCCACCAGATCATCAATAAGTTCCTATACATTTCTAATGCAAATCTTCCTCCTCCATCTATCACCCCAGCCATTCTTATTCTCTCAGCTTCCATGTGAAATGACCCCTCCAGGTGAGCAGCAGTTATCGGCGGGCTTTACAGAACATCCCCAGGCACTGTCTAGTTATTTTCCCCATCCCTTTTAACAGAAGCTGTACTTACAGTCACCTTGAGCAGCCAGTTTCTTGCTCTCTGGCTGGTCTGTTTAAAAGACAAGGGAGTAGATTAGATTCAAGCCAATCTCCTTCTAGTAGTTACAGGCAGCCTCCCTTCTCCAAGGCTGGCATGTGGCACAGAAGAGCAGCCCAAAGCATGAGGGGCTAGATGCGAGCTACGTACATCCTCACTAAGAAAGCCTTCAGAACATTTAACAATCAACAGGCACTTCGGCAGGTGCTGCCATCAGAGGGCCAGGCAGCGAGGGGAGGGGACTAGGAGCACAGCGACACGGGGGTAACTCCGAGTGCAGCCAATGGCTCAGAGCCTGGTTTAGAGGTGCTAGCTGTAAATAGGGATCTGCTGCAAAGCCCCCCCAGATCTACAGAGGAAAGCACAAAGTGCTAAGTATCACCAAGGCCCAGCACTCCTATTGCATAACGGCGCCGTTCAAAGAGAGACAACGAACTCCCTGCAGTACCTCCATCTTCCAGTTGCCTCTTCTGACCCCCAAACCCAAAGTCTGGAGTGTTGTTGTTCACCGTGGTAGCTGCATCACCCCCAATTTTAGCCGCTATCTGAAAAGAAAGCAGGTGGCATCATACAGTTACCAAAGGGAAAATCCTGCCAGAAATTAGCAACAATGGGGAAAATAAAAAGCAACTGGATTAGCAAAGGCAAAGTATTCTCAAGCCCTAGGACCTTGAGTCCATTAAATATCCCACACAATACATGGCAATGCCATTTAAAGAGTCCTAGACCAGGCTACACAGCTCAGAGGACTACATTAAACAATCACACTTAAGCTAAGCAAGGACTAGCATGTTATTACAGCACTAAAAAGATATGCTCTAGCCTAGGTCTATGTATCAAGTTAATGACATTTATTATAATAGTTGCATGTAGCAAACACTATTAAAGCTGTAAAACTGCAACTACTACGAACTAATAACTCTTGTGCTTACACTTTCCGAAAAACACTTCCCCAGGGCTGAGAGTTCTGTACTTGCATTTCAGCCAAAATGTGAAATTTTATGCAAAAAGACCACTTTTAAAAATGCATTATAAATGTACCTTCTTGCTTTCTGTTCAGATGTAACAAGTGGCAGTACCTCCAATCTGTATACCTACCAGACATACAGCCCCCAGTCAAGAACCCATCAACTCCAAATAATGTGAGTGTGGAAACAGAATGAACAGCAGCAAATTTCACTAGCCAAGAGTCCACTTTTGAATGCCAGCTGAGACAGACTTGGTCTCATTCAGGATGTGGGGGGGTGGGGGGTCACAAAAGTGTTGCTTGTATGCAGAACTGTTAGCTCACGCCCAGTTCAAATTTCTCACACTCCAGCTAGCTCCCTGGAAGCATCAGTATACACTTGTGTCTATTAAGTGTGCACATGCATTACTTTTATATGACCATGAGCGTACACAACTCTGAGACATGGTCTTCCCTTCCATTAAACTTAGGAAATTAAAAGCAAAAAAAAAATTGTTAATAGAACATTAAGGTTGCAAATTTTAATTAAGAAGTCAAGCATTGCAATAGCGTTTTTCTGAGAATCTGAACTTGCGTACACAGAACAAAGGTGTAACTTACATATCGTCACTAACAATATTAATATGCATTCTTTCAGTTACTAGTTAGCTTGTATACAATTAAGATTCACTAGGATAGAATTCAGCCTACCGGATGATTACATTTTGTATTTCCCATTTAAATTCACAACCTTAACACTGCATTAACACCAGTTTTAACTGATTTTTAGAAGTAGCTCCCTTGTTTATTTACCTGCTGCAACTCAAGTTTAGGATTCTGCTCAACAGGAGCTGACACCACCACAGGCACCTGAAGACAGTAGAGGACATGGTGATGTGCTCAGCTGTTGCAGGACAGAGAAAATCCCGTGCTTGGGTATTGGCAGATAAGTCAGTTTTATCGTGTTCATAAAAGGTGCAAGATTGACAGGACTGGAGGTCAAAGATTTCTCTACCCAGCCAAATCAAGTGCAGCCAGGGCAGTCCAACAGCAAGGCACAATTCCCTACAACGCCCCCAGCAATGTGTGTCATCCACTATTACTAGTAATTACCGTTAAGTGCAGACAGTAAGCTTGCTGCTGTGCGATTCACAAGGACTATCCCTGCCCAGAACTGCAATTCTCAAGTGACCTGGAGGGACACTTCTCTGGGGGCAGAGGACAGTTCAGTCTCCATGGCCCATTCAACACTTTGCCCTTCTGGTGAGGAAGCCAATTGACCTGCGGTGGCAGTGAGCTGCGCACACCTTTTCACTGAAAAGAGGAGCGACACCTAGCCTAGTCTCGACCGAAAAAGGTTTGCTGGGACAGTTACAAGAAACCCATCCTGGCAAACAGCCTTGCAGGAGGATGGATTCTACAGGTTTGCTGCCTTAACAGCGAGGACAGGCAATGTCCCCTCTAAACTTTCCCATCCATGTGTGGCATAAATGTTTTGCCATGCACAAAGTATATGGGGATGTGCCCCACCAGCAGGAACAAAAACCTAGCAGTGGGAGTCTGCTAATCAGCTGGGTGGCACTGGAATTTCTCCTGAGTGGCCACACAAGCGCAGTTTACAGGGAATGCTAGGAACATGTAAAATCTACTTTGTTGCAGGTGAGAGTGGGTGGCGGTAAGTTGTGGGGAAACACTAAATAAAATGGTTTAAGCAAGGCTTGTTTTTGTTCTTTAAATGATAAAATGTATGTCTGAACTCCTTTACTACATAGACAGGCCATTGACAGGGTGGTTGAGTTTTACAGGGGAATGTGTCTTGGGGGATTTAAGGTTTTAGGAGGTGGGAGCAGGATTAAAAAAAAAAATCAAGAAATAAGAGTGGGTCGGAGTGGGCAGGACAGGAGCAGGATTAAAAAGTCTCTTGCAGGGCTCTACTTTCAAACTAGTGGAGAGGAAGATTAAGAGTGCTTGTGCGGGGACTTCTTGCATAGCTCTCCAAAGAAAAGACGCTATCCTGGGAAAGTATTTCTGTGCTGGCATAACTGGGTCTACACTAGGGCTTTCACCAAGTATAGGGTGTGATTTTTAATGACATTTTTAAACTGCCATTACTATTGAGAGAAGTTGAGGGCACACCTGTTCCCCAACTCCCTAGCCCAGCTACACCATTAGATGGCAAGCACTTTTGCTAGTTATCAAGCAGGACTGGATTTCAGCCAGTGACACAGAAATGAAAGAATTTGTATCTCTAGTAGTCCATAATACCATCCTATACACCCCTTCATTTTATTAAAAACAAACCTATTCCTAATTTTAAGGTTGCACATTTGTTTCAGTTTGGGGATCCTTCACTTTTTAAACAAAGGGAGCTTTGCTCCTTGCACTCCAAAAAAATGAATACCCTCACTTTCAAAATCAAATTTCAAGGGCCAGACTCGGGAGAGCTACAAAGCATCCAAGGGTGTAATAATTTAGAAATACATTTCCCAAACTTAAGCTCAGTTTTATACTGAAGCATCCGACAGATGCATGAATATCCCAAGATTTTAGTACTGCAGAAAGATACACCTAAAAGTTGGGAAGAAAATTAGAATAAAACATCGCCAAATCACCAACATCTCTCTACCTCCTGGCAGTGGCAAAATTAGTGCAGGATTTCCCTGCATGTTAGCAAAGACCACATTTCACCACTATATCCAGCCACCAGTGCCCACGAAACAGAGCAAGGTATATAGACATTTTCAACTTAGAAATTCCTTTTGCAAAATGCCACTGTTCATCTGAATTGTGACTGAGTTGTCAGCATTTATGCTGCTTCCTCTATAGTCTGAGGAAAAGAAGTCATGAGTTGCAATGGTTTGCCTAGCTGAAAAAGATGCTAAACTGCTCCACTATTCCAGTGGGAAGTGTTACCACTGTCCCCCAAATGTTGGGTGCCTCTTGTGTAGACTCTGTATGTGATACAGACTTGGTTGAGCTGCTCAGTTAGTGGCCCATGGCTCTGGGGTTTTATAGCATTCCACTAGTCAGAATAAGGGACACCTGCAGAAGTTGGGGTACATGGGGACATCATGGCCCTATTGCCCCATTAAGTTAGATATCCTTGTCCTCAGGTGGTTGATGGATTAACATTGCCAGCCTTCTCCTTTTGGGAGAGTTATACTGAAAACATGGAGAAAGCCCCAGAATTAAGGAGGGCCACCCCATAACACATCCTCATTTCATGTGGGACTACAAATGAGATCCCAAGGTGCTGCAGTCAGAAACAGGGGAGGACTAAGCAGAGCTCTCTGCTGGCTACGTGCCAGAGAACAGACCCAGGGGCTTGGCCATTCCCTCTTCCACATGCGTGACATGAGACCCAGACTAACAACCTTGGTATGGACCATAAAATCCTGAAGCTCAATGCAAAAGAATTCTTACCTTCTGCAACTGGTGACAGAAGTGAGAGTCCTACTCCCATGGGGGAAAGGAGTAGGCCACCTTGGAGAGGGGTTCCCTCCCCCTCCTGCGCCTTTCCCCTCAGCCTCTCTCCTCCCACAGCTTTTACCAGCCCTCTCCCCACCTGCCACACCAAAGACCTGCAACCCCTCTGCTTCTAACACCTACACAGCACGCCTCTGCCAGCCCCTAACCCTTCCCCCACGCCCCTCACTCTACTCCAGTACGACCAGCCCTCGCAGCCCAGGACGCCCTCTTCCCACCTCACTCCCAGCCCACCCCCTTCCCCCCCACTCCAGACCTCTCCCCCAGCTC